CCCCTCCTCAACTCACCTGGAATCTCCAACAAGACTCTCACAACAAAATAGAGAAAAACACAGATGGAAGCTTTACAACTAAAATCCAGCAGAACATCACTCTGTCAGTCACACATGATGGAAAGAAGATCAGCTGCTCTGCCAGATATCCTGTGAACCAAGGAAACGACACCAAGACAGCAGAGACAGAAGAGACTCTCAGTGTTTCTTGTAAGACGATCAGAGTTTGTTTTTTCATCCTGCAAACATATCATGATTTATAGGATATAATTTATTTCTCCAGATGCTCCTAAAGACACCTCAGCATCCATCAGTCCATCAGGTTTGGTGTCAGCAGGCAGCTGGGTGAAGCTGACCTGCTCCAGCAGAGCCAAACCTCCAGTCAGCAGCTTCACCTGGTTCAAGAAGGGCAGAGATGGAGCTGTGAAAGTATCTGAAGGAGAGATTTACAGCTTCAATGTAACAGATGGAGGAGTTTATTACTGTGTGGCCACTAATGATCTGGGTAATCAGACATCAGCAGAGAGTCATGTGACTGTTGGAGGTAAAGTAAAGACAAATATAAAACTTAGTCATCAGGACTTTATTAAAGTCTTTGGAATCTGCATAAAGGACAAGTCCAGAAATTTAAGAAAGAGTCATGTGTGTGAAAATCTGCTTTTACTTTTATTTTTAAGTGTATCTTATTTTGCTGTTTGTTTTTATACCTGTACATGTAAGTACATATCCAACTTAGACCCATCTCACACAAATGAAAGGTTCAGTCACTTATATGGTTTAGATTTGGTTCTTTCTTTTGTTTCTCTCTATAGGAATGATCAAGCCTGTATTATGGGGGGCTGCTGTTGGAGCGATCATTGGGATCATCATTCTCATCTGCATGGTTTTCATCCTTTGGTAAGACTCCCAGATACATGTTTTGCTGTTTTAAATCCTAGTAGCTTTTATGTAACTGGAAAATAAAACCAAAAGTTGCAAGATACCGGTGTGTATGCCCCACAGGGTTGATGTCAGGAATTCTGGAGTAAGTTAGATGAAGTGTCTCCAGGGTGGTGATTGTAGAAGACTTCAGTGTAGGTGATGGAAACAAAGGTGATCGGTAGGTTCTGGATAGGTGTGTGTTAAGAGCAGTGTTGGGTAAGTTACTTTAAAATAGTAACTTAGTTACATTACTAGTTACTTCTCTCAAAAGTAACTCAGTTACTTCAAGT